GGGTAAAAACATGTGTAATCAATGGTCGATCAAATCCCCCCACACTTAACCGTTTGCTTGTCCCCAAGCAAACCTAACTCAAACCAATGCAGCTCTCCAGACCTCTATAGCAACAAACAACCCCGATCGTCGGTAGAGGATTTTCTAGATCATAAAGCAACTTACGAGGTCAACTGGTCTTCTAAGACGTCCCATATCTCTCTCAATGCGAGTTCTAAACTCAAGCCAGGATCATGAGAAGAAGTAGAAGTAAGACAATCAGTTCATGGATAAAGGGACTCACACCATTCACAACCAAGGACTCGTGGTACCGGGTTGCTCTTTCACTTCGTTTTACCGTTGGAACCCCTTTTTGCACTTTCATTTACATTTCTCTTGTGTTTTTTTTCTTTCACTTGGCAGGGGTTCCAACTGCAGTCTTTTGCACGGCCGACCCTTATTAGTCGAGCAAGAGCAATTTCTGTACACCTGGAGCTCGCCAGAGTACTTCTTTTAACTCCTTTTCCTCAACTCGTGTGGAGGGTCAATGAAATTAAGGGGGGTCGGAAGCTCTATCCGTGCCCTTAAAAACACATCCTCGAGTAGGCAAACCGTTCAATGGGTGGAAGTTTTACTTGTACTAAAGACAGCTTAGCTTCACCTTGTAGGAGTTCCCCACTAAGGATCACTAAAATCTCCTCCAAAACCCGATTTTGTGCAATGAACGGTGCCACACACGTTGGGCTTACCCCATGTTTAAGATTTTGATGATTTCGACATGGAGGACCAACTGATTTTCATTTCACACATGAGCACCCTGTTCGATACACGAGTCCATAACACAATCCAAACAGAGTCCACATTACCACATGAATTCAACGGTCTTAGCTCCACTAATTCACAAAATCAACTGGCACAGTAGAGAGCTAGATAGGAAAAATCTTATACTTCAACATCCTCCATAGTGCTACACTACCTCCCTAGGTTGCATACTACTATAGAGACTGTCAATTCTAATCATACTGAGCATGCAATTTGCATGGAAACACGTACTTGGAGCCCTCAAATTTAAAAATTTGGACAGTGGACTAGGCTCCAAGCACACAAACAGATCTAATGCAGTCAAAAGAGAAACAACCCCCCCCCCCCACACACACACACTTAAGTTTGACATTGCCCTCAATGGAGAAGAGGGAAGGATAAGGGGAACGATGTTACCGGTGTGCACGGACTGCATAAGACTGGAAGGGGACCAGTCTGGGTGAAGCGAACTGGAGAGAGGACTAGTCAGGACAAAGCACAGCTAAAGGGAACAGAAGAACTCAAACACAATACGTTAGGTCCAATGGTCAGCCCAATAGTACATCATCCAAAATAAAAAGAAAGAAAATAAACCGACACAAGATAGTTTGCACGCTGACAGAAACAAAAACACACAAAACATGCCACTAGGGGCCTCTTAGACCGGTTCATCAGCATCCATGGCCCCGCCATCATCATCGTCCGCCTCCTCCTAGCCGGAGTAGTCAACGTCCTCGTCGAGATCCTCATCCTCCTCAGGGGGCATGGAAAGCCCATCCACCCAGGAGCGGGTGCCATCCGTGGTCAGGAGGAGTACATTGTGGAGCACATCCCGGTTGAGGGGGGTGGAGCCGCCCCGTGCAGAAGAATCCGTGAGTCCCTGGAAGCTGATGTCGAAATGGCGCGCCAGACGGGTGATCAGAGGACCACAGTAGATATGGTTGGGTTTCCCGTGGCACCGGGAGAAGGTGGTGGCCACGAAAGAACCCAAGTGTAGCATGTGCTCCGGGTCCCCCATCGAGTACATGGCATAGAGCACCCGCTTCGGAATCTTGTACGACCCAGTAGCACAGGGGACGATCAAGCGGGTGATGAGCAGGTTCAGGATGTGCCAATGTGGCCTGATGGAGGAGACGGAGGTCTGTCCGGCGTCGAAGAAGTCTTGCGCATAGGCGCGTCTGGCTATCCGGGGTAGAACTCGTCCTGGTTCCAGTCCGTTGGGTGTGGAATCTCCACCTCGTGGCGTGAGTAGGGGTGGTACTGGATCCCCATGGCATAGGCCAACCCGTCAATAGTCAGCTCCCGTGGGTGGCCACCCAGCCTGAAAGTAACGGCGTAGGAGTCCCGGGCCGCCTTTGAGTGGTATTTGTAGGTGGTGTAGAACTCCCACTCCAGCTCCGTGTAAGTGGGCTCCTCTATAGTCAGCAGTGTCCGCCAATCCCGGTGGCTGATGGCGGCGGAGAGCTCCTGTATGCAGTGGAGCTGCTCGAATATGCCCCACTCCAAATGGTGGTGGCGCTCCAATCTCCCACGGGTGACCTGGTGGAACTAGTCTGCGTAATCCGGGTGCAGGCGCAGATCCTGCACGAACGGATGGTTGAGTCACATGTTCCTGCAAAATTAACAAACCAAAGGTGGAGCCAAGAAAAACTCGTCAGGACCAACAGTATGGGTTCATCACTTCCCCCACACTTAAGGACCACCTAGGCTAACAGTTCAAGCTCAACAGGTTGAATTGCAAGCAACCCAACCGGAGACAAGGCAAGAACAACATAACCAACCACATCAATCACACGGGCAGCATCCACACCATAGGCATAACCATTCATACGGCATCCCTCACCCTATTCTAATTCAAGCATGCCAGGCAAACACAGTTCTCGGGCCTACAATCTATAGTTCGATTTTCCAGAAAAATAGCAGGTAACAAGAAACACACCTGGAAACTCAAGTAAAACTGTAGCTAAGGCTCCAAAAATGGGTGAGGGACGCAAGAAGGGGGGCAAAAATGACACGGGAGGTTCGCCGGAAAATGGCCGGAACGTCGTCGGGAAACCCGCCGGAAAGTCGCCGGAAAATGACCGGTGACGGAGGTGGCGGCGACGGTCGGCGGCGGCTAGGCTTGGCCGGCGGCGACCAAGAGAGGAGAGAGGGCAGAGGATTTTTAGGAGAGGAGTAGGGGTGGCTATACGGTCCAGTCCGGTTAAATTGGACCAAATTGATCCGGTCCCAGTCCGGTTTTTTCGGGAATATAAGGACCAAAGATTGGATTGGATACTGTTCGTACTTGATCCGGTCCAGTCTTAACCCGGTCCGGTCCCAATTTGAACTTGATTTTAGATTGAGCTTGTGGGGATTTGAGTGTTGGGGTCTCTTATCCGGTCTTTATCCGGGTTTTTTTACCTCAAATCTAAGCCCGAATATGAGATTGGATTGTTTGCTATCCGGTCCCAGTCCGGTCTCGGTCCGGGTTATAGGGACCGGTTTCGGGTAAAACCAAACAGTCCGGACCAAATAGCCAGCCCTAGAGATGAGAGGGAAAATTTGGAAAAAATGAGGGTAAAGAGAGAAAACTGACCGGGGTTTGCTTAAATAGCTAAAATCCCCGGTCGGGCCCCAAAAATACCCGATCGGGTATTTTGAGTCCACGACAGGGGGTTTTGAAAACGTCGCATTTCGAGTGCAAGGAAATCCCCGGCCTTGAGCCAAAAATACCCGGTCGGGGGTTCTGAAACGCAGCGTTCCAAGGCTGAGAAATCCCCGGCCTTGAACCAAAAATACCCAGTCGAGTATTTTTGGATCAAGGTCGGGGGTTTACCCTTTTTCACCCCGAGAAGCAGAAGGGGTCCCGGTCATGGGCCAAAAATACCCGGTCGGGTATTTTGGCCCACGACCGGGGATTTGCCCGTTCCAGCCAAAAATCTCATTCGCCCAAATATTCGACCTCTCCTGCAGGAAAACACCAAATCGAGGCATAACAGACGACCGAACTTCAACACAGACATGCAACTGACTCAACACGACACTAAAACACAGGAAAAAGGGAAAAAGAAATGCAAACCGTGGTGGGGTTGCCTCCCCACAAGCGCTTCTTTACCGTCTTTTAGCTGGACGCCCATGGTGGATACTCAGAGGGGTGCAGGAACAGGTGCCTCAAAGAGCGGATCCACATCGCTCTTGAGATATAGCTTCAGATGGTGGCCATGCACCCGACGGGTGCAACCACCAGCATTGGTCAGCTCGACCAGGCCATCCGGCAGGATGCAAGCGAGTGAGTACTCGGATGGCCAGGGTGGTCGTGGCGCAGGGGGTGGAACCAGCTCATAGTGGTTTCCACCTTTCTTCTGTGCAGGCTTAGCCACCTGCTGCTTCGGCCGCCACTCCTCTTTGATCTGTTTGTTTGGCGGTGAGGCTGAGGGGAGTGGCGGCGAAGGCGTGAGAGGGGGGTCCTGCAAAACAAAAGGCACAGAGGGATACACAACAGGCTCGTGTACCTGGTCAGAAGTAGCATGCATAGGCGTGACAGCAACCATATCACAGTGATCCAATTCAGAAACAGAAAAAGTGATATGTTCATTCCCAATACGCAAGATCAGTTTACCACTATGCACATCAATAAGTGCCTTGGCGGTGGCGAGAAATGGCCTACCCAAAATCAAAGGCACATCCACATCCTCATTTATGTCCAGAATAACAAAATCAACAGGATATGTGAATGCGCCTACTCTAACAAGCAGATCCTCAATGATACCCTTAGGATGCATAATGGAACGGTCAGCGAGCTGAATGCTCATCCTAGTAGGGCTAAGTTCACGTAAGTCTAGCTTTTTGAACAACTTATACGGCATGACATTTATGCTAGTGCCTAGGTCCGCCAAGGACTTGCCTACATGCATGCTGCCAATAGTAAGAGGGATAGTAAAACTCCCTGGGTCCTTGTGCTTTTCGGGCAGCTTGTTCTGCAGGATAGCAGAACATTCCTCGCTCAGCAGCACTGTCGAAAGATCCCCAAGTAGGGATGGCAGAATTACCCATGCCCATTGGGTTTTAAATATCCAACCCAGGTGGGTCAGGTCTGCAACCCAAGTAAAATACAAATGGGTAAAATCTAATGGGTCAACAATCAACACCCATACCATTAATGTTGGGTCCAGTTGGGTTTTACCCATGAATTTGGGTTAAAAAACTCAAACCCAAGTAATTAAACTAAAAAGAAAAAAAGCATCTCCACGGCTGGCTCTTCCTCTCTCTCTCCTTATCTCGTGACGCCAGCTTTCCGTTCTCACTTCTCCGATCGATCGGATTCCGGGGAGCAAGACGGTCAGGTCGCTTCGCCCCATCGCCGGCTTCCTCAACACCGCCGACGGCTTCACGACTCGCCAGCTCCTCCTATCCCTCTCTATCACGAGAACCAAGTTTTCTCTTCTTCAATTAGTCGGATTCAGGAGAGCAAGAGGGTCTGGACGTCTGGTCACTTTGCCTCGTCGCCCACCCCCTCAACATCGCCGACGGTTTCGCGATTCGCCGGCTCTTCCTCTCCCTCTCGATCTCAAGACACCCGTTTCTCTTTTTCAATCGGTCGGATTGCGGAGAGCAAGAGGGTCTGGTCGCCCGCCCTCACAAGATCGCCAACAGCTTCGCGAATCACCTACTCATTCTCTCCCTTTCGATCTCGAGACCACGAGAAGCCCATTCCGCCAGGATCCAGGTATTATTCATCTTACCCTAAGTTTTTGAACCGGGTATTATGAGAACTCTGTTTAGGGGATAGGGTTTCTGAATGGGTCTTAGTTGTGCATTGGGTCTGATCTGTGATTGATTTTTAGCTCGAATGAAAGTTTAATGTTAAAATGTGATTCCCACTAGCTAGCTATCTACTAGAAGTCTGATCACCTGTTTCTTCTAGCCATGAATGCAATTACAGCAAGCCAAAAGAATCGAGGTCTGTGCTTGGAAGCACTCATTTTGATTCTGTTTATACCTTTCCTTTTCCACTAGCTTTCCCTTTTTTACTCGTCCTTTTGTCTTCCAGTAGTCCTGTTTTCTGGGTTGCAAAACCCAGGTCATGTTCTTATGATCATCTAATCTAATGGGTCTAGTAACCCTTGGCACTTACACCTTCTGAGTTTTTGTGTGATTGTGGAATACTCGAGACTTCCCTTTTTAATTTCATTTTGTGGGTTCGTGAACAGCCGGGATGGAGGATTGAGAAATGTTTTCTTTGATGCTATCTGAATGGGAATGTTTGAATGATTGCTTGTTGTTTGCTTTGTATTTCTAGGGAAACATGGCTTCAGAAATGAATGATGATAGTCTATCAATGAATCACGAGGGTAGTAATCAATACCATCCTAGTGTGTCTTCTTGTTGTTGCTGTGTTTATATCATAACTCAATGGTTCTATTGGTTGCTTCTGCTGTATGAATTTAGAGTGTTTTAATTATTCAGATAATAGTTCTTTTAACTATACTGATTTAGAGTGTTCATTGGAGGTGGCATTTTTTCTCTACTGGTTTCTGGTGTGAGCTTAATACTTTCTTCTCTACTGGTTTCCAGTTTCCACTTCATACTTACCTTGAAGGAGACATTTTGTTTCAGCTTAACAATTTAACACATTGGCATGCTTCCTGTCAAATTTCAACTTCTCTCCATTTCCTCTTACTAATATTGACAGGCTTTGTTTATGTAATGAAGAAATTGTTCAAAACAAAGTATCTCATTTCTGTGGATTCCAAAACAGAATATCTCATTTCAGTTGATTATGTAATGAAGTTATTGCATTCTTATATACTCTTCATTTTCACCACTTGCCTCCCTTTGCTACACCCTGTTGCACTTGTACAGAGTATCTCATTTTTTGGGCTTGCCTTTTTGCTACACCTTTGCTCATGATTCAGCTTTGCTATCATGTCTATGACAGATGATTTTTTGGGCTCAATGTATTCCCTGGGTTGGAGTAATTATCAACTTTCCATACTCATTTGCTTCCTTTGCAGCATTTGTTTTTGGCTATCCTTTTTAGTTCGAGTGTCTAGTGTCTGAAAAATATGACAGCATATATATTGCAGTGTCTTATGTCTTCATTAGTTGCCCATGATAGTATACTACAGTTTGTACCATGTGTTTGCTCTTTCCTGATTCCTTCCTTCATCAACTGATGTATGATGCCATTGACTTGAGTTGCTTTCCCAGTTTTGACAACTTGGTACACTCTACGTCTCACCCATTTTTTGTGATTCTTCAAAGAAGCTGACTTTTGAGGAAGAACGGCCGCTGGAGCATCAAGGTAATAGTCGCGCCAACCTGTCGAAAGTGGTTGACTCGATCGGTGCCCGCCGGGAGCTTCGCAGAGGCAAAAATCACGGTGGCCCCGCCGCTGAGAGACTTGGCAACGAGGTCCTAGGCGTCGATAGAGAGCTTCACCTCCTTGATGCTCTCGTATGAGACGAGATTGTTCCGCTTCCTCTACATTCGTGTTCGACTTTTGAAGAAGGACGGCTGTCGAAGCCACGCCGCCGGGTAACATCCCCACCACCCACCAGTCGGAGTACAGCCCATCGGCGGCAGTAGGGTGACTGAAGTTGTAACATCCCGTTCCAACAAAATCCATATTTCGATCGCTAGAAAGTTTGCGATTTAAAATCGAGCGTTTTGACAGTATTTCAGCGAAAATCGGATTATCAATCGATCGGATAAGTATACGTATTAATTATATATATACGGTCCATTTAAATCCCCCACCCTTCCATTTAATTCTCATTATCATCGCCTTTTTCCATTTCTCCACCGAGAGGAAACCGAGAGCAGAGCAGCGCGCGGTGAGAACAGGGGAGCTCGGGGAGAATTTCCAAAGCTCAAATTCTTGAGCCCTAGTGATCTAAAAATCCCGTAAGTAAATTCATCTATACATCGTGATTTATCGATTTAGAGCTTTAAAACGAGATTTTGGTTCAGGAATTTCTTGAATTCCCGATAAGCCAAATTAGGGGTTCGGAGTATTCGGAAGCCGGATTGAGCCCAAATTTCATATACGAGCTTCCTGCAGTGAGGTAATCAATCCTCTAGTTCTAATCCATGAATTTCAGCTATTATTTAGGTTGGGGTCCAAATTGCTGAATTTAGCTCCGGCTAGGGTTTGATGTGTTTTTATCGAGAATTTGACCCGGAGCCTAGAACTAATATTGACGGGGATACTGCAGGGGATATTAGGACGGTCTCGGATTTTAATTCGGGGTTCGTTCGTGAAATTGACGTTTTAGTACGGGAAGGTTAAACCGGTGTTTGAACAACCAGAACTGGTGAGGGATTAGCACGGCATACCGGGTTTGTCGTATCATGACAATTATATTGATGCTTAGAATTGACCTAGGTGAACTAGAATGGCATGATTAGGGGTGTATGAACTTTTGGTGGTATATGATGAACCCTGGATTGATGTATGATATTATTGACTTGCCCTAATCGATATGGACCTTGTTTATGCTGATGATTTCGTATATGTTGCAAATTGTGGGCTTGACTGTTGATATGCCTTATGATGGTTTGATAAGGTGATTGAGTATGATTTTTCATGATTGTTGTATTTGGATGCACATGTGGGAAAATATATATTCCCTGGTGATATTATGATGTTTAAGGAGGATGACTTGCACGAGGGTTTATCCCGAGGAAGTGCAATTATACGACTCCTGGTTATGTTGAGCCAATTGTGGCTAGGTCAAGAACATGTATAAGTAACGAATTACGATTAAGTAAGATGAGATATGAATCATGTATAAGGATACCAAATATGAGTGTTCTGGTCTCACAACTACATAGTAGTTAGGGCTCCCTATGCTATTACTCTATTATGATATGTATGATAGTCACACCTCTCATGTGGTGGTGACTGAAGATTTCTTATGAGATATGACCACACCCAGAGCGGTGTCGGGGTATGACTACACCCATAGTGGTGTGGGGTATGTATGACTACATCCGACGGGATGTGGGGTATGTTTCCCGGGAGAGTTATTAGCATGGGAGTAGCCAGGCGCCTATAAGTAAAACATGATAAGACGCATATGCATAAGTCAAAGTGGTTAAGTCTTTTGCCCATTGGGATATGAGGATGGCTGAGGTCCGATCCTAGTGTTTTGGCTTGATTGCTAGATGTATGGTAGGGGTATGCTTTGTTATGAACTCACGATGCAATGATTATCTCACTCAGCTATGAGCTGACCCTCTTTTATTCTTCTTCTCTGCTTATGCTATGTGTAAGTAGATCATCAGCAGCAGCAGTAGATAGGTGTTAGGTGGGAGAGGAGCTAGAGTTGAAGTCAAGATGAGGTATGGTCTTCAACTATTCTGTGCTTGGACGACTACTTGAGATTTTGGCCAGTGATCCACACCTTTTTGTAAAATGTTTTGAGAACGTTTTTCATGTGCATAATAGCTTCTGATGTAGTGTGAGACATCCACAGGTGTGGAAAGTTGATGATATGTGTATATTTGTGTAACATGAAACTGTGACTATGGCTATGAAAAGCCAATGCATATGGCATTGAGTGTATATGTTTGTCTATGAATGCATGGATTTAGATGAATTATTTTGCAGGATCAGATGGAAGAACTGTTAGCCCATTAAGCGAGTAATTCATGTCGAAATTTTATTTGGATAAATTTTGATAATTAGTGTAACACCCGAGATTAATTCCGCTGCAATTGTATGAACAATATGATTAGGCAAAACGTATAGGGTAGGGTGTTACAGCTTGGTATCAGAGCTGGAGGTCCCGGTGCCCTAGTATTATTCTGGCGGGCTATTCCTCCAATCTGATGCTGGAGGTCCTGCAATATGGCACCTTGGTTCCTCTGACCCGCCTCCACAAGGCGATGCTTTGGTCTATCCTGGTAAAATTCGCCTGGATGGTAGTCATGAATGCCTCCAAAATGTTTTTCATCTCCGTCATCTGATTATCTGGAGCTGGAGCTGCTGCTGGCTCGACATAATGGCGTTGCGGCTGCTGGAACGGCTGCCCCTGCCTGGGCTGTTAAGGCTGCTGCTGTGGAACTGGCCCCTGTCTAGTCTGGAAAGACTGCCTCTGCTGAAAACCACCCGCTGGTGCTGGAAAACCAGGTGGTTTAGTGGTGTTGTTGTTCCAAGTGAAGTTGGGATGCTGGCGCCACCCCTCATTGTATGTATTGCTGTATAGTTCAAGGCACCGAGCATTAGCGATGAAGTCCACCTGCTCTTGGGGAGTAGAAGACTCCCGCATAGCCTGACAATCTTCCACCAGATGATTCGGGCTCTCACACCACTGACATTGAGCTACTGGAGGTACAGCCGAACCTCTGCCCGGAATAAGACTGTTGGGCTGCTTCAATGTCTACACTAACTCAGCCACCTCCCGTTCTAGCCCAGACCTAGCCTCCATGGCGTGTACACCTCGATCTCGGAAATTCCTGCCTCTGGTGCTCTGTCCCCAGGAATTATCTCTGGCAGCCAAGGTACTGATGATCTGGTTCAGTTTGGGTGGAGTCTTGGTAAGAATATCCCCTCCTGGGCATAGAGACTCAATCACCATCTGGCTTTTCGGAGAAAGAGCACTGTAGAAGTTCCCCACGGTGAATGCATCACTGAAGCCATGATGGGGACACTGCCAGAAAAATCCCATGTACCGATCCCATGCATCACGAAGTGACTTGTCTGGCTCTTGGCGGAAGTGAATGATCTCCCGCTGGATCTCTGTGGTCTTCGATGCCGGATAGTACCTGTGCACAAACTTGTTGGCCAGATCGTCCCAAGAAGTGATGGACAATGGGGGCTGGGTCTCCAACCACATCTTAGCATGCCCCGCCAGAGAATGGGGGAAGAGGTGAAGACGAATCGCATCATCGGGTACACCGTTCATCTTGAACCCGTTCGTCAGCTGCAGGAAACGGGAAAGATGCACCCTTGCCTCCTCATCCTTCAAGCCAAGAAACTGGATAGAGGATGTAATGAGTTGAATCCAGCATGGCTTGATCTCGAAGTTGTTCGTTGGAATAGGTGGATAGAGGATGACAGGGCGGATATAAACGACCCGTGGAGTGTTGTAGTACTCCAAGGTGGGACCCGGTGGCGGTGGTAGATGTTGAACCCCATCTGCCTGGGGTATGGGGTTGTTACCCAAGATCTGATTCACCGGGGAAACCTGGATAGGTATCCCCTGGGGTGGGTTGTGTTCGCCTTCCATCTCGTACTCTTCCTCATAATCACTGCTCAAGTGGCCGTCTATGCGTTCCTCCGTAGTCAGTCTAGCTCGTTGTTGTCTCCTAAGTTGGCGACAGGTGCGTTCAAGCTCCGGATCCAACGACAGTAAACCTCCCGACAGGCTACGGGTCATGCACTATCTGCACACAGTCAAGCAATGCAAACCCGTGAAGGCACAAGTGGGAAAGAACCAACAGTCAATGCGAAAATGAAAATGCTAAAGTAACAAAAATAACGTTTCTTCAACAACCTAGCCGTCCCCGGCAACGGCGCCAAAAACTTGACTCGCTCCTACCGTCACTCTAGAAAATGGCCAAGTGTAACCACCTCCTAAAGCGTAGTATAGCGGGTTTGGGTTTTAATGTCAACCCGGGTCCTAGATGTGTTGACTACTCAGTGAGTTCTTATTATCTAGCGGTGAAACTTTAGTGCAGGTCCAACCAAGCAAACAAGCAAAGCAAGTAAAAAGGGTTGTTTTCAAGTCGAGAGAGGTCACCCGGATATGGTTCCCCCTAGACTGCAGTTAAGCCGGATTGTAATTTACCAAGTTCAATTTCAATGATAGTTATACTGCGGGAGGTTCTTAAACAGTCTGAAGTCTCGACTAAAGGTCTCCAGGCCCTCTCAATCTAGGGATGGCAATGGGTCGGGTCGGGGACGGATAGTGCATATCCGTTACCCTACCCAAAGTAGTTCGGGTTTGACCCATACCCACATAAGAAACGGGTAGAAAATCCAAACCATGCCCATACCCGTTCGGGTTTCGGGTATCCACGGTTATCCATGGGTAGTAGTTTTTCTTTATAACACTAACCAATATGTTAATATTCACATGTATTCTCACGTAATGTAAGACGAAAAGTACGACAGTGATTCATTAGAATGAAGAAAATTAATTAAACCAACACAATTTCATGAAAATATTATATTTCTATGCTAGATATAAAATATTTTAGAGAAAAATATTGATTATTTCTAGAAAAAATACATACGCATGTGTATAATCGGGCGGGTTCGGGTTGGATAGTGAGAAAACCATGCCCACCCATTACCCGCAATATTCGAGTTCGGGTTTTACCCATACCCACTAAAAGCTTTCGGGTTCGGATTTTATCCTACCCGATTAGGTCGGATTCGGGCGGATATCCATGGTTACGGATATTTTTGCCATCCCTATCTCAATCTGAGTCCCCAGCGGGCGACTAACCTCCACCGGAGTAAACAGATTGAGGCCCTAACGAACCAAACCTCCACTATCGAAGCAAATTCGGTACAGAATAGTGAATTGACTCCTCGACTAAAGTCGTCAATTCACCACCTTCAATCAAGGATGCTCTATCAACCTAGGCAG